TTGTTGGAGCATATAAGGGATAAGAACATACCAAAATAAGCCATACTATTCTTAAAGAAAAATGACTTAAGGTTACAATTGTTGGAGAATGAGCTACTCAATGAGAACTGGCGGTAAGTCAATACTTTAATAAAGTAAATGAGAAGAATAATCTTACAAGGATTGAGACCCGAATTTAGAGGTTTCATTGCTGCTATGCAAAGTTGGCCAGAGCAATCGTTATTAGTCAATCTCGAAAATTTTGCTGGCCGATCAAGAAGCATTGACTAAGCAAATGTATGGGGTTTCAATAAAGAAATAAGAGGAAGAAGCACTATATAGCTATAGAAGACCCCATCGACAAAATAATAAAAAATTAAAAGAAGGTAAGTTTAAAGGATGGATTGAAGGAAGTTGCCCGACAGAGGGAACTCAAAAAATTTGCAACAAGAGAGGTCAATTGTTTAAGAGATATCAAGGAACTAATGATTCTTGCTTTGTATGTGGAAAATGAAACCATTATACTAGATATTCCTGGTCTTAAAAGAAGCCAGCATAAGGTAATGTTGCAACCTCTAATAAGGAAGAAAAATATAATAGTGAAGAAGAATGGGATGTTGTGACATCCACAACAGTAATCGATTAGGTTCGAGAGAAGAAATTCAATTCAAGTATAAAGGACGAATCAACGTGGTGGTACTCTTGCTTGAACAGATGGATTGGAGAAGATAATTGGATTGATGACTCAAGAGATAACGTTGTGGTTCATGAAAAGTCTTCTTGGTGGACTTTGCAGAGGAAGGAACTACCAGACTCAGAAAAAATGTTTGAAAAAACATATTCTTAGCAAACATCGCAGAGGTGGAACTGCTAAATTCAAAAAAAATAGATGACAAGTCGAAGGAGAAGATGTCAATGCATATCGGCGAAGTAATACAAAAGCTCGAGAAAATGCATAATGTGATGGGAACAATTAATGAACAAGAGCATTTGAAGATAACACAAAGTCCTGAAGAATCTAAAGATCTACAGGTGTCAAGTGATAAAGAAGAGCTTTTTAGAGCGACACAAAGTTATTTGCAAAATGGTGCGGACCAAGAAATACTAGCGGGGATCGACAGAGTCAACAAGATATCGAGATAAAAATTCACGACCACAAATACTCAAATAGAGATGAGAAATCCAGTATCAAGTTTTGCTAACCTAAATATAGATGGAAAGAAAAGTAAGAAAGAGCCATATTGAAGTCGATAATGTGTTGAATGAAGGGTTTCAAAACTTGTTGAGTTTGGGCAAAGCTGGGCGTGATGAGAAAGAAATGAAATGAAAATTTGATACTGAAGAGGATAATTGAAGAAATCATCACCGACATTTGAAGAAATTTCTAAAGAAATATGTAAAGTGCAGCAAGCTTGAAAGAAACTAGAAAAAATCCATTTTATTCTATCACCACCACCACCATACTAGAAGTTGTTGGAATTATCTAAACTTTCCAGCCACCGACAATATGAAGAACACTCTAATCTTTAGGGTGTTAAACTCAACACTTATTACCGATTTATGATTGTTATCAAAAAGGATACTCAAGGATATGGGCTGAATTAGATTCAGGGGTTCAATGTTTGCTCCCATCAAAAGTCAAAAAAGCTCATGGGAAGTGCAATATCTTCATGAGGAGTTTCAAAAGATGTCGACAGAGAGCATCATCTTATCAAATTCTCTCTCCTTCACTGAGAAAGGGAGAGACGACAAAGTACTAGATAATTTGGGAATACAAGAATCTATGTTTAGGAAGATAGTTGCTAGAAAAACTAGTTTAAACTGGTGCACATATGGCAGGAAGGCAACAAAGTAGTTAATTGGACAAGTTCTTTCTATTCGAATGGTTAAGAAAGGCTTGATGGATTGATAGATATTTCTATACATTTCAGCACAATTCACAAATGGATCTACACTCATTTGCTGAGGACTTGTTCGGTATCAAAGTGAATTTGCCCGTCTCGACGAAGTGAATTTGTCAGTCTCGACGAAGTACCTATGCCCGAAATATTTTAGAGTTGGATAATCACGGAAGTAGTATTCTAATTGATTTAGATGAAGTTGATGTTCTTGAAGCGGAACAGGAGGAGGAACAAGAATTAGATGTTCATGATGCAAAAGGAAAGCAAAGGGGGAAAAAAAGAAAAATGTTGGGATCATTTTAAATTGATTTCAATATGTAGTGTAGTCGATGGGTCACAAAGTCAAAAGTGGTATGTAAATACTACCAACAATGATTGGCAGGGCAAAAAAGCATTGGCACCACACACCTCAACTGTTATTACAAGCATGTGCGGTCAAACATGTGCTTCTTACTGTCAATCAAACTCAATTGCAATTTGGAAGTCCAACCGCAAATTCTGCTTTTAAGACACTTTCTACGTGGATGTATTCAAAGGAGAAAACTCGAACGGGGAATGGTGAAGTTCATTGTGGATGCTGAGTTACCTTTAGCAATAGCGGATAACTAACATTTCGTCTCCTACATGAAAGAATATCTTTAACCAAAGTACGTTGGGGTAAGTAGAAACACTCTTCGTTCCGATACAATAGAATATTTTCATAATACAAAGAAACAATTGATTACTAATTTGCAAAAATATGGAGGTGTTATGTCTTTTACTTCGAATTTATGGGAATTGATCAATAAAAAAAGGTTATATAGCTGCAACTGCTCACTATATAGACCTATTTTGGTGTATATATAAAAAAATTATTACTTTTAAAATTATTGAATTCTCTCACAATGCTAACAATATATATAACACTATTATGAGCATTATTAGAGAATGTCATTGCGAGAGTAAAATTTATTCTTTTACATTTGACAACGCTATTTTTAATTTAATTGTACAAGATAGTTTGAAATATATTAAGAATGAAATTCCAAGAATTAGGAATGCACTAATATATAGTCATTGTTTGACACCCATTTAGGAGAAGAATTTGATTTGGAATAGTGATTGATGGAAGAATATGTAGTTAAAAAGTAAGGAAAATTTTTGAGTTTATGTGTAATATTATTTTATTGATAGAATATGTGAATGAAATGAAGAAAAAGAAAAAAATGGATATCAAACAAGGGCATATTATGATTTCACCGAGTAGAGAACACGTTTTTGAGGAATTTGGGGTGACAAATACGAAAACATTTGTTATTGACGTAGGGTATAAATGAACTGCACTTATTATTAAAATCACGTGAATGATTTGAACATTTCATAACTTAATTTTGTACTTGTATGGTAGAGATTTTTGGGGGAAAAATTGATTTTTGAATAGTAGTATGATGGGAAATGTATTGTTGAAAAAGAAGAAAAAATTATTGATGTGATGGAAAATATTATTTTATTGAAAAATGTGTGGTTGAAAATGAGAATTGATTTACTGTAGAATTTGAAAATAAAAAACAAACAGGCCATTTATAACAATATGCATATTAGAAATAATGATGGCACTATTTTAAATGAATCTGATTAACTTTTGGCTTTTAAAATTAAAAAAATTTTGACAAATTTTTATGTCTCTACAAATATTTTATCTGGAGTGTACTATCATACTAGTTGTATAGTGTTTGAGCGTCTTTATATAATTGCAAGAGTTTTTAATAAATATAAAAATGACCTAAATTTTAGTAAAATTATATATTCTATGGAATTAAAGTTTAGAAAATATTTGAAAAACTTGCCCATATTATTTCATTTAGCATACATCATGGACTCTCGATACAATTTATTAGGTACCAATAGGAAATTTATCAGATTTCAAAAGTTTTAACTTTTAATACACCTATCACTCATAGAAATTTAGAACAAATTTTATGTGAAATATATGAATTATATGTAGAATAAACGAATGCAAATATTAGTTGGGCACACTCGCATCTACCCTCCCAATGCTATTGAAGAAGACGGCGCTGAAATATTAAATTTATTTGAAAGCATTAACACGTATAAATATGATGCAATAGGTTCCTCTAATATTAGTATGTCTACTGCATGTAATCAGATATCAGACGCAGGTCCAAATGAATTGTTTGTTGAATTACTTGATTACTTTAGTCATAATACACCTAATAATAAAACAATTAAAAAAAAGTTCAGAAGAAATGATTGAAATTTGACGAAAGTACGAACGACCAATGTTTTATGCGATTGCAAAAGACCTACTAACATCTCTAGTTAACATTGTAGTTTCGAAGTCTACTTTTAGTGCATGTATGATGGTTCTGTCCGAGGTCAGGAACTGAGTGAAAAAAGATATTTTGGAAGCATTAATGTGTGTGAAGGATTGACAAAACGCTCATTTTCGATTGTAAGATAAATATGTCGAAATTGTATGTCGTCAGGTAAGTAATATTTAATTAACTATATTATTTTATAATACTATTTTTAATTTTTTAAAAAAAAAAATTGTACATGTAACAAGTTGTTCGTGTACAATTTTTAACTCCACATATTCAAAATTTAAGTAGTTGATCCCAAATTCGAATCAATGAGGGTTTATCTATTAAGAAAGAGAGAGAGAGAGAGAGCGCTTGCGAGCCAATGCTCAATTCGGCCCAGGAGCTCGGCTGGTGGTCAATATCCGGCTCAGACCATTGTCGCCCCCAAGTGTAAACAATAGCAAAAGATAAAATGTCAACAAAAACCATATTTGTCGACTAGATCAAGAATCTCAACACAAATTAAAAGATTTAACCAAGTCAAGCAAAATGTAAATGAAAAAGAAAAAGTCAACAAAAATTTCCTCTATTTTTAACCAAGGATCAAGATCCCCTCAACACGGACCCAGTAAATATTGCTTTGCATCTAGATAATTAAAACTTCTCAAAGCCAAAAAGGACCTTGACTAGAAAGTGAGACATT